TCTTACACCTAATAATCTGGGGTGTTGCTTTCCTCAGTCCAGGTGCACGGTGTCCTCCTATAGGCCCTTGTCCCTTAGAGACTTGGGAAATGCTGCCTCCCTGAAAAGCCCTGAGCAGTTTCCCTACTCCAAACCTTGCAGAGAAGGAGTCCCTGTCCTAGGAGTGATAAGAGATGGGAAATCCATGGCATAAGTAACGGGGTCCAGGTAGAGACCTGTGAGAGAAACAAAACATGGTAACCTGTCCTTTCTCTCCTTCAGCCAGACTTCTCAGGCAACCTCTGTTCTAATAAATAAACTTTATATTTTAGATCTAATAGATATGTCTTTATACAAAGAAATGACTGAGATGATTTTTTTTTTTGAATCCTGATCTTTTGAGCTTATCTGAATCTTTAAAGCTTTCAGATCTTTTAAGCTTATCCGAGACCTAGTGTGTATGGATAGATGATCCTATTGTCAGTGAATAGTATCTTTTTCCTCTCTTCATATGTCACATATATTTTGCTTTTATTATTATTATTATTGCTCTGGCTATGTATTACAGTATAATAGTTGGACATGAGAGTCCCTCTTCTTATTGCTTCAGATACATTTCACAGTAATGAGAATAAAAAGGGAATTAAGGGCATAAGGTCAGCTCAGGCTTGCAGGAGTGAAAGGGTGAACTTTAGATGAACTCAAATCAATGGCCTACAACCATCACTGTCACTTACCAGCCATGGGAAATTTGTCACATTATTAAACTGAAGAGTGCCTCAGCTTTTTAACTGTGAATGGAGTGTGCCAAGCCTGGTCTGGAAGGACTGGTGGCCTTGGTGCTAACTGTAAAGTATCTACTGCAGTGCCTGGCAAGCACCATATCCCTCCTTTCTCATGACTGGTGGCTGCACTTTCCAACAAAGATCTGACCTTCCTTACGCCTGATACAGGGCTTCCCTGGTGGCTCAATGGTACGGCCTGTGGTACAGAAACCGCAGGAGACATAGATTTGATCCCTGGGTCGGGAAGATCCCCTGGAGGAGGAAATGGCAACCCACTTCAGAATTCTTCCCTGGAAAATCTCATGGACAGAGGGGCCTCGTGGGCTACAGTCCATGGGGTCACAAATGTGTCAGACACGACTTAGCAATTCAATAATAACAAAAAGGCGTGATATAAAGAAGTTAGGGAGAGCACTTACAGCCATGCCCTGATCTTCTAGAACTGACATCAAAGGGTAGGGCATGACTCTCTTTTGTCCCCCCTGTTCAGGGATGGGTAGACCCCTCAGTCTCTACTCCGGCTCCACAATTTGAATTCTGGTGGGGCCTGGGGAATCCCCTCCTTCTTGATCTCAGGCCTATCTCATCATAGTAAGACCCATACCTTCCTGTGAGCTTGGAGGAAGAAATAAGGGTGGCCTGAACTAGCCATGCCTGCCAATAGTCTCACAAGAATGGAAGCTCTGGAAGCTGGTTGAGGATGACAGATGATTCCTCTCACGGTCCCAAATCAGGGTCCCAAATTTTGACTCTCAGCCAAGCCCAAGATTCCCCCTTGTTAACATGGGATCACCACCACGAGAACAAAACCCTAATTTTCCTGCTACTCCTTGGTCAGAACTGAAGGGCCCCTTGGCCTGACAACTCTGCCTGGAGCCTTCTAGCCTGACAGTAGGGAGGATTGTATGTGGACATCCTGGTATGTGTGCTCCCACATTCTTTACCATCCTCAATCTGACTTGAAAATAACCTGGTAATATTCCCTGAATTGCCTTAATGCTTCTCCAATCAGGCCCCCAATTCCCTGAGACTCTTAAGGTAGAAGTGGAATTTGCCTCACGGCCCACCCAGCCCGTGGTCTTCCAAGGCTAACGGTAGTGGAAGGAATATGTTCTGCCCCCACTGTTTTGAGGCAGGTGGTCTTTTCAGTCTTCAGGTTCCTTACCTTGACTTCTGGCACAACCTGGAAATCATCCTTCTGCTGAGCTGTGGCTGCTCCCTTTGATCAGGATGAGGTTCGTTATGTCCATGTGATCCTCTGCGAGGAAGTGAGTAGGACTCACCACATAACCAGGCCTAAGTGGCAGAATCTCAGGCCTAACAGGGCCCTCTGTGGCCCCCTTCCTTCTGGGAGGGAATCCTTCATTGTCAGCCAGTGCCATCAGTTGACTCCTGTTCGGAACTGGGTACCTGACCTCAACTGAATGGGGCCTCCTGCACTAGTCCAAGGACTTGTAAGGCCCTGAAGCCATTCGCCTTCAGAAAATGAGGGATAAACCTAGTCTGAAAGCCCTGCCTGTTCCCTCCCAGGGCCCATTACATTTGCAAGACTCTCTAAGAATTTATCTGTAACGGGGTAGGTGGCTGCTCCACTCCTCATACAGGACTGTGCAAATGTCATGCCTGGGATTTCCACGCTCTGATGAAGAGCCAGCCTATAAATCAATGTCCACATCTCCTTGACACCCTCCATGCAGAAGTCAGGGGGCCCTTGAGCTGGCCAGCACTTACCTATGCTTCCCAGGGCTCACTGGAGAGGAGGGACTAAGTGTAGCCCTGTTGGCTGTGAGTTGAGGGGCTTCCATGTCCACATCCTGGGTCCTCACTTTGCACCCTTCCTGGGGTTCTATTCTCTGCTGATCTGAGGCTGAGGACTCTGCTGATTCCCAATGTCCTCACCTTCCCAGGACCTGAGCTGAAAGCATTAGCTACAGCAGCCTGGATTTTTCTGGACTTTATGGGCTTGCCAATGAGGACAGGTCTTTACAGGTTGCTACTGTTGTGGCTGGGTCTTTCTATCACCCTCATTCAGGTTAATCACCGTCAATTCTGAGAGACTGATACTCACTCCTATCCGACCTCAGAACTCTGCCCCAACACCAAGTTTCTTAGATCTCTGAGAAGCCTGAGGAATAAGCGAGGCTGTGCTTTGCTTAACAGTTCTGAGATTCTGTGTGTCTGAGAGGAGTCGGGAATGCTGTTCCAGTGACCTCCCCCCCCTCATATTCTGGGGTGTTGCTCTCCTCAATCCTCCTACATGGGGTCCTCATCTTGCTTTCTGTATCTTGCACTAAAGGCTCCTGGGGAAATTATACATCTCTGCAAACTCTTGAGCTGTGTTTGCTCTGCAGTGCTACAGAGAATGGGTCTCTCTCCTAGGAGTGCTGGGAGGTGGAGAAGCTATAGCCCATAGCAGGAGTCCCAGGACAGGTGGTCACCCATCAGGTAAAAAAACTACATCAATCTATCTCCTTATCAGTCAGGTGAAGGTTATCATGTTATTTCTCTTCTGATAGATATACTTTCTACCAGCAAGAGACTGTAAGCATGATATGGAGAGCCCTTGGTCTTCAGAAGTTATCTACTATGGCCAACGTACATGCTTATGCTGGCACCGAATATTGTCTCATTTATCCGTGAGTAATGAATACATAATGATACATATTTCTGGTTAAATGCATTTGGTATTCTTACTGCTCTGGCTACACATTCTGATCCAGGAGCTTGAGCACAAGGGCATTCTTTTTTACCACCTAGGACAAATTTTGAAGTATTGAGAAAAACACTGAAATAAAACATACAGGGTGGGGACTTTCCTAGTGGTCCAGTGGCTAGTACCCCAGGCTCCCAATGTAGGGGGCCCAGGTTTGATCCCCGGTCAGGGAAGTAGACCCCACATGCCGCAAGAAAGAGCCAACACAGCCAAATAAATAAGTAAGAAAAAGGAAATGAAATATCAAATGCTAAAAGTACTTGTTTAAAAAAAAAAGATAAGGGTATTTCTTGGGGTGGGGGGAGGGTGAAAATAGTATGAGTGCTACAGTAGTTTATAGAGCAGGAATCTAGTCCCAGCTCTGTCATTTACCAGCCTGAAGTATTTCGACAAAAATCAAACACTATCTCTATAAGCCTGAGGCTCTCCATTGTGAACTGTGTTTGGTGAGCCCTGTCTTGCTGGACTGATGGAATATATGTATTTACAGAAAGCATCTGTCATGGTGCTTGACTCTACTGAGACATTAAGGGCAATGGCTGTTATTACTATGATTATCTTGACCTCAGATAATCAGCTGGGATTACATCAGCTGGTATTCTTTTTTTTCTTTTTGTATCTAACAGGTATCAGGTACTATGCAGCATTCTAACTGAAGGAAAAAAAAATACCCAACCTCCTGAATCTAGCAAAAATTCTGCCTAGCAATGAAAACAATGTAATATGCTGTTTCCAACCCCACTTTACCCTTTTTACTCTTTCTTCTTGAGGTAGAGAGTATCTCAGCCTCTTCCATAGAATGACGGCTTCTCTGAGAGACTATAATTGAATGGGCAGAGGTTGGGACATTTTTGACTAAATATCACCAGTATAAGCATGAAGACTTCTTAAGAGTAGATGCTCAATTAATGTTTGTGTAAAAGAAGAACCACGAATAAATCACTTGCGATAATTTATATTCTCAAACATTCTTGAAAACCATAAGCAGATCCAGGTATATAACTTTTACCTTTACAAAAAGGGAGACTAAACAGAGAGGAAAGCAAACCAAAAACTGACTAACTTTCAGCTATATCTCTATTTATGTATCAATGTTCTGAGCCTCTCTTAGTGTGGTGTCTTTCACATTTCTAAGCATATTCTTATCCTAAAGTGATGTTATTCTCATCCTGGATCACAAGTGATTTAAGGATTTCCAATATGTATTTCAAAAAACAAAACTCTTACTCCTAAATTTAACAAACAGCAAACAGTGTGTACCCATGTAATTAATATACTTCTATCATTAAACTAAATAAAGTTTCTGTTGAAAAAAGTAATACTGAAAATTATGGGGGAAAGTCAACAAGTTATTGATGCATATTAGGAACACAGGTTGACAGGCTTTTACAACCACAAAGTGAAGAGCGGGCTTCAGACTATACTAGGGGTGAGATGAGCGGTTGGATGTGGTCCTGGAGTGGACCGAGGCAGAAGTGCTAGCACTGGCTGAGGCAGAAGGGCCAGGCCTGGCCCTGGCAGACATGTCAGCCCTGGCCGAGGCCGAAGTGTCAGCCCTGCCTGCACCAGAAGTGCCAGCCGTGCCTGCACCAGAAGGGGCAGCACTGGCTGAGGCAGAAGGGGCAGCACTGGCTGAGACAGAAGGGCCAGGCCTGGCTGAGGCAGACATGTCAGCCCTGGCTGAAGCCGAAGTGCCAGCCCTGGCTGCACCAGAAGTGCCAGCACTGGCTGAGGCTGAAGGGCCAGGCCTGGCTGAGGCAGAAGGGCCAGGCTTGGTCCTGGCAGACATCTCAGCCCTGGCTGAGGCTGAAGTGCCAGGTCTGGCTGAGGCAGAAGGGCCAGCACTGGCCAAGGCAGAAGGGCCAGCACTGGCTGAGGCCAAAGGGCCAGCACTGGCTGAGACAGAAGGACCAGGCCTGGCCCTGGCAGACATGTCAGCCCTAGCCGAGGCCGAAGTGCCAGCCCTGGCTGCATCAGAAGTGCCAGGTCTGGCCGAGGCAGAAGGGCCAGGCCTGGCCCTGGCAGACATGTCAGCCCTGGCCGAGGGTGAAGTGCCAGCCCTGGCTGCACCAGAAGTGCCAGGTCTGGCTGAGGCAGAAGGGCCAGCACTGGCCAAGGCAGAAGGGCCAGCACTGGCTGAGGCAGAAGGGCCAGCACTGGCTGAGGCAGAAGGGCCAGCACTGGCTGAGACAGAAGGACCAGGCCTGGCCCTGGCAGACATGTCAGCCCTAGCCGAGGCCGAAGTGCCAGCCCTGGCTGCATCAGAAGTGCCAGGTCTGGCCGAGGCAGAAGGGCCAGGCCTGGCCCTGGCAGACATGTCAGCCCTGGCCGAGGCCGAAGTGCCAGCCCTGGCTGCATCAGAAGTGCCAGGTCTGGCCAAGGCAGAAGGGCCAGCACTGGCTGAGATAGAAGGGCCAGGCCTGGCTGAGGCAGAAGGGCCAGGCCTGGCTGAGGCAGAAGGGCCAGGCTTGGTCCTGGCAGACATCTCATCCCTGGCTGAGGCCAAACTGCCAGCCCTGGCTGCACCAGAAGTGCCAGGTTTGGCTGAGGCAGAAGGGCCAGAACTGGCCGAGGCAGAAGGGTCAGGCCTGGCAGAGGCATAAGGGCCAGGCCTGGCCGACGCAGGATGGCCAGCATGGGCTGAGGCAGAAGGGCCAGGCCTGGCCGTGGCAGACACGTCAGCCCTGGCTGCAGCCGAAGTGGCAGCCCTGGCTGCAGCAGAAGTGCCAGGTCTGGCTGAGGCAGGAGGGCCAGCACTGGCTGAGGCCAAAGGGCCAGCACTGGCTGAGACAGAAGGACCAGGCCTGGCCCTGGCAGACATGTCAGCCCTAGCCAAGGCCGAAGTGCCAGCCCTGGCTGCAGCAGAAGTGCCAGGTCTGGCTGAGGCAGGAGGGCCAGCACTGGCTGAGGCAGAAGGGCCAGCAGTGGCTGCAGCTCTGGCTCTGGCGCTCTCTACCTCCTCTCTCCAAGCCTCCTCATAATGCGGCAGTAAGGCATTGGGGATCAAATCATTGACCTTCGTCAAAAACTCCAGGACTTTCATCTTGCAGTTTTCTGTGAGTGCTTTAGGACCCCACAGGAACTCATAGCGAGGGGGATCACTGCCGGGCACCTGGTGGTACTCCAGGTACTCTTCCCGCACCAGATCTTCTGTGATAAGCTTCCTGGTGTCTCCAAAAATGAAGTGCCTTCTTTCATCATAGATGCCCAGAATACTCAGGAACTTCCAGACATCCTGCTCAGAGGCGCGGTGGCCATTGAGGTAGATGATACCCAGCAGAGGCATCAGAAGACCATTCTTCGGCAGCCCCCAATCACCTCTCATAGACTCACTGTCGATGATATCTACATTGCTCACCAGGGTATAGGAGTGACTGTTGGGCCTGACTTCCTTCAGCACCAGGCCAAACACCATCTCTATGTACTCAGAGGCCCTGCTAAGGATCTCAGGGAATTGCTCCCTGTACCTTCTGTGGATAACCTTCAGCATTTCAGACCTCTTAATGAGCTCCCTCACCTTATACTTAAACAGCATGTACTGTACCAACATGTCTGCCTTTCTGGTCAGAAGATCTGTTTGAGAGCTCTCAGCAGCAGCTAAGGCCTGGGAGGAATTTTCACCTTCCTGAACTTGGCCCTCGGCATCTACACCAGATCTTGAGCGTGCTTTGCCACGTGCACCAGCTCTTGAGCGTGCTTTGCCACCGACACCAGATCTTTTGCGTATAGCACCTTCAGTAGCACTGGTGGTGCCTTGGGCTCCCTGAGGCCCTTTGGGGGTGCCAGCAGCAGATGAGCTTGAGGGAGCGCTCTCTGAATCAGGAGGAGAGGAGGAGGTGGTCTCTTCTCCCCCAGATGTGGTGGCCTGATCATGAAGACTCTGGGTCTCAGCCCGGGCCTGGTGACGTTTCTCACGAGCACGGTTCTTACTCTTCTGCCCACGGGGCATGACGGCCGTGGACAGAAACCGCAGGAAGGAGTCTGGGCCAACAGGGGATTGGGGCACCTAGAGGATGAAAAATGAGGTGACATGAGCACCTTAAAACAGGGAGATTCTACCTTGGCTTAATCAAAGGCCGCCTCTGCAGGTGTCCTTGAGGACACTGACTGAGGAACCCACAAGGCTCCTGTTTTCCTGGTCAGTGTGCCCGCTGAGAATCCCACAGAGAGAATAGAGGGTTTACTTTTTCTCTGCATCCTCTCAGCCCTGCTTTGGATTTACTGAGGTGACAGCAGTGGGTTCCTTTCAGCTCATCTTCACTATTATCACATCAAATCCTGGCGGAGCCTGGGCATCCTTCCCTCTGCTACCCTGATGTTGACAGTTTAGACCACCACATGATCCAGAAGCAAGTGAAGGGATGCCTCAGTCTACCTCCCTCCCAGGGGATACCCAGTGCTGAGAGCTTAGTAGGGTCTTTTCTACCCTGAGTTCACTGGGATCATCATTCATGGTCCTTACCTTGGCTCCTTAAAATGTTGGGCATTATTCTCCATTTGCTAACTGGTGGCTGCACCTTCAGACTAGACATTTCCCCTCCCCTAGACTTGGTATAAAACAGTAAAGCAGATGTTCAACCTCACAGCCCATCCCTGAGATTTCCTGGGCTGAAATCCAAGGGTTGGGATGGATGCTCTTGAGTCCTCATTCAGGTTCCTCAACTGAGTTCCTGGTAGAGAACCTCCTCTTTCTCCTGAACTGATGCCTGTGTGATAGTAAAAACCAACCACCCTGTGTCCCAACAGGAGGAAGTGAAGATGACCTCATCTTACCAAACACCGTTTCCTAAGAATGGAAGCTGTTGCAGGCAGGTTGATGTCCCTGTGGTCCCATCCAAGATCCCAATTCAAAGTTAATTTTTTTTTTTTGCTTCTCTTTTCTTCTATGTGTCGTTTTTAAAACAAACTTATTTATTTTTAATTCAAAGATAATACCTTTACAATATTGTGTTATTTTCTGCCCCACATCAATATGAATCAGCCATAGGTATACTGTACGTCCCCTCCCTCTTGAAACTCTCCCACCTCCCACCCCATCCCACCCCTCTTAAGCTGTCAGAGTACTGGTTTTGAGTTCCCTGAGTCATAAAACTAATTCCCACTGGTTATTTATTTTACATATGGTAATGTGTACAGTTTTCAATGTTGCTCTCTCAATCTGCTCCTCCCTCTCCTTCCCCCACTGTGTCCATGAGTGTGTTCTCTACGTCTCCATCTCCAGGCTGCCCTGCCAACAGGTTCATCAGTACCATCTTTCTGGATTCCATATATATGCATTAATATATGATATTGGCTTTCCTTTTTCTGACTTAATTCACTCTGCATAAAAAACTAGGAATAAAACTATCACATGAGCCAACAGTACCACTACTAGGCATATATCCTGAGGAAACTAACTGAAACACACTTGTACTCAAATGTTCACTGCAGCACTATTTACAATAGCCGGGACATAGAAGTAACCAAGGTCTACTTTTGACTCATGACAGGGTCTAAGATTTCTCCCTCTGCTGACCACTTCCTTAGATGACCACAGTGGGGACCGACATGTATTCTTGAGGTCTGCCAGGGATGACGACAGGGAGGATTTGGTCTGAATGATGTGGTGTGGAACATCCCCACAGCCTCCGAGGTTCTCACCATGACTCCTCGCAAATCTGAAACCCTCCCCTGTCAACCTGAGGCTGCCTCCTTTGACTTGGTCACTCACTTCCCTGAGATGTCCCGGGAAGTGTCATGTCAAAATGCCTGATTCTCCCAGGCCTGGTGCTTTATGCGGCCCCGTTTCTTAAGGAGGTAGCCCCCAACCTCACTCAGCGTCACAACCATGAATCATGTTGGGGACTAGCTCCCTTTGTTGAACTGGTTTTATTCTGTTAGGGCAAGGCTCTCAATTCCCCAGGACCACCTCCTGTGGACAACAGGGGGCACCACAATCGGCCAGCTCCACCTGGGGCCTCTTAGAGCTGAGTGCAGGGGGGCCGCTCAGTGTGGCCCCCTTGCAGTGTCGAAGTCTGCTCTTCGACCCTCAGGGCCGTTATCTAGGACCTAGAGCTCCTTCGAGGGTAGAATCCGGGCCTACCCCCACAGACCAACGCCTTCACCTGAGACGCTAGACCGCATTCAGCCGATAGCTCTGAGGGGCCCACAAGAGCCATATCACAGGGGTGGGATGTGGATGGGTCACTTTTATTACTGGGAGGGTTGGGAAAGCTCCTTCAGCTACATTCAGGTCCTCACCTTGGTTCCGAACGAGTCCTGGACACTAGCTCTGAGGGGCCCACAAGAGCCATATCACAGGGGTGGGATGTGGATGGGTCACTTTTATTACTGGGAGGGTTGGGAAAGTCCTTTCAGCTACTTTCAGCTACATTCAGGTCCTCACCTTGGTTCCGAACGAGTCCTGGACACTAACTCTCCGCCAAACGGTCGCTGCGGCTATCGGTCGAGCTTCTCGCCTTCAAAGCGGAAGTGGAGGGGAGCTGCGTAAGGTCCTACGTGAGGTCTCCCAGGGACGACGACAGGGGCAGCGTGCTACGGGAACCCCAGTAGCTCAATATTCATCCGTCCCGGGATTCTCTCTCAGGGTCCTCCGCGTGCAGTTTATCAGAGCCCTGAACGCCTCCTTCTATGAACCCAAGTCCTCCAGCCCCCAAACAAAGCCCTCACCTTCCCAAGTCCCTAGTGGAGGGAATCAGGGCACTGCTCTGAGCATCTCTGCTTGTCAGGAGAGGCGCCACTCTGTAAGCCTCCCTCTTTCGGGGAGAGATCCTCTCATTAGCACTGATTGTCCTCACCTTAAGTCTGGTTATGGTCAAGATGACACCCCTCTGCAGCCCTATCCTGCTAGAGAAGGCCTTGCCGTCCCTGAGATCACACAGGTGGAATGAGGGGACCACTCAGAAGTAGCTCTTCTGGGTCTCTCAGAGCTAAGAATTTACAGAATGCTGTTTGGCTCCCTCTCCAGGGGTCCCCTCTAACACTCAGCATTGTCATCTGAGGTCCTGCTTGGGCTCAGGTTCATCAACCCACTAAACTAGGCTGATCCTATTAGACAGAGGCCTCACCTCACTGAGAATTTCCAGACTGAAATCAACCTGCCATCTGTGCCCAGAGCTTCCTGGGGACCACAGTGACAGAGATTTTCCAGGGCCTCCTTTGATGCAGTGTGTGCTACTGTGAGTCCACTTTCATGTCCTCACATTGACACGTAATGAATCCTGTAACTCCACTGTCTGCTTTATGAAGCTGCTTGTCTTACATCAAGGTCCTAGTCTCCTTGAGAATTCCAAGTTGGAAGTCAGGGTGACCCTCATGTGATTGTAGTCCATAAAGGCCTCCAAAAACAGGCAGTGGGGATGCAACTCGAGTCCTTCTGGATTCCTCTTTCTCAGCATCCCCACTACATTTACCACAGCCTGGGACGGCTCTTTCTACTGATGTAAGATACCTCTTTGGGTGACCACCATAATCAGGAGTCACTGTCTCCACAGTCCTCCTTCATGGAGTTCCGATATCAGCTTCTGTCGCTTGATTAAAGACTTCCTGGGAAATGTATATTCCTACGAACACTTGAGCGGTTACCCTCTAGCAAATCTGGGAGAAAACGGGACTCAGTCCCAAAAGTGATGTAAGATTAGGAAAATGCAGCAGAAACCAAGGAACTCAGGACAGATGTTATGCTGTCAGAGAAAAAGAGCTGATATATTCATTCTCTTCAACCAGATTTTGGGTGTGTGCTTAGTCACTCAGTCATGTCCTATTTTTTGCAACCCCATGGACTGTAGCCTGACAGGCTCCTCTGTCCATGGGGATTCTCCAGGCAAGAATCCTGGAGTGGGTTGCTCTCCTCCAGGGGATGTACCAAACCCAGAGATCGAATCCAGGACTTCCACATTGCAGGTGAATTCTTTACTTTCTGAGCCACCACATTTAGGGTAGTTCTAAAATGTTTACTTTCAGGACCCTCCTATTGGTCCAGTGGTTAAGACTCTGTGCTCCCAGTGCAGGGGGCCCAGGTTCGATCCCTGGTCAGGTAACTGGATCCCACATACCAGAACTAAGAGTTCAAGTGCCACAACTAAAACTTTCATATGCCACAACTAAAGAGCCTGTATGTGGCAACAAAGATCCTGAATGTCACATCTAAGACCCAGAGCAGCCAAAAATAAATAAAAATAAATATTTTAATTAAAAAGAATAAAGTATTTACTTTCTACATAGAAGGATAGCACCTGATAATCTTGTAAGCCCTTGATGACTTGAGGGTGTCTGAATTTGCACATGCAGATGATCATATGGTTACTGAGCATTATCTCTTTCTCTCCTTTATCTCTCTTAATTATTTTGGTTATGTGTTATGTGGCAATATTGATGGTAGTAGAGTTTGGGGGAGAGTATATACATGTATATGTATGGATGAGTCCCTTCACTTTTCATCTGAAACTGTCACAATATTGTTAATCGGCTATCCCCACGCAAAAAATAAAAGTTCAAATTATAAAAAACCAAAACTGTGCTTCCAATGCAAGGGGTGTGAGTTCAAATCCTGGTTGTGGAATTAAGATCCCATGTTTCGAGGGGTGGTCCTAAGATGGTGGAGTAATAGGATGGGGAGACCACTTTCTCCCCCACAAATTCATTGAGAGAATATTTGAATGCTGAGCAAATTCCACAAAACAACTTCTGAATGCTGGCAGAGGACATCAGGCACCTAGAAAGGCAGCCCATTGTCTTCGAAAGGAGGTAGGACAAAATATTAAAGATAAAAAGGGAGACAAAAGAGGTAGGGATGGAGATCCATCCTGGGAAGGGAGTCTTAAAAAAGAGAGAAGTTTCCAAACACCAGGAAATACTCTCACCAGTGGGTCTGTGGTGAGCCTTGGAATCTCAGAGGGCAACATAACTAGGAGGAAAAATAAATAAATAAATAAATAAATAAATAAATAAATAAAACCCACAGATTACATGCCTAAGGGCAACTCCCAGTGGAGAAGCAGCCCAGACACTCGCATCTGCCACTAGCAAGCAAGGGCTGGGCAGGGAGGCATGGGCTGCATTGCTTAGGGTAAGGATCAAGCCTGAGTGCCCTGAGGCCAATCTGAGGGAACTAACTTGAAATAGCAACGCAGACTGTGGGATAGCTATCCCTTAAAAAGCCTTAACCTAAGACACCGCCAGGCCCGCTCACAGAACAAAGGACTGAGCAGAGCTAGCCGGCTGCAGACTGGCCCATCCTCTGCCGGAGACAGGCAGGCGAGGGCAACCAGAGCCGGAAGGGGGCAATCGTGGCCCCAGAGAGTCATCCTCTATGAAACTGCAAGCAGGCTTCGTTGCTAACCAAGACTTCTTGGGATTATGGATGGTTGACACCCGCCGGGAGGGTCACAGCCAGAGATCAGCTCCCCAGAAGAGACACATGGCACACCTGAGAAGGTGTGCCCATTGTATACCCAGAAAACCAAGCAGCTGGTACAGGGGAGGCGATAAGACGCAACCTCCAACTGGGGGTGACTGAGCTCACCAAGCACCTGGTCACTTGAGCTGCTCGGACCTGGGAAGGGCACAAAACGCAGGTTCAACCAAGTCTGCGCCTTTGTGGAGTACCTGAGAACCTGAACCTGAGCAGCTTAGACCTGGGAAGTGCACGCAACCTAGGGCCTGCCCCAGACAGTTCCCAGCAGAGCAACCTAGAGCCTGAGCAGTGTAGACTGGGAAAGCACACATGCCGTGAACAGGGGCAAACCTAGTGTGGCCCAGACCCTGCGAGCACGCCCCACACATACCAGTCATGTTTGTTTGCAGTGCTCCTCCCTCCCCACAGCACAGCTGAACAAGTGAGCCTAAAAAAGTGACCACCTTCGCCCCCTTGTGTCAGGGTGGAAATTAGACACTGAAGAGACCAGCAAACAGAAGAAGCTAAAATAAACAGAGGGAACCGCTTTGGAAGTGACAGGTGCAATCGATTAAAACCCTGCAGTTAGAACCGACTACTTAGGAAGGGGCCTATAGATCTTGAGAAGTATAAGCCGGATCAAGGAACTATCTGAAAATGAACTGACCTCACACTGTCCACAACAGCTCCAGAGAAAGTCCTAGATATATTGTTACTATTATAATTTTTAAATTGATTTTTAAAAAATTTTAAGTCCTCTATTACTCCTTTAATTTTCATTTTTATAACCTACTATTACCTTGCAAAAAAACCCCCCTATTTTTAAAGCAAACTTCATATTATAATTTTTGTGACTTTTTAAAAATATTGCATTTTGGAGAATCTAATCTTTACTCTAGATTTTTAATCTTTGCTTTTTGGTATTTGTTATCAATTTTGTATCTTTAAGAACCCAATCTTCAGTACCCATTTTTACCTGGGAGCGAGATTACTGGCTTGATTGCTCTCTATTCCTTTTGACTCTCCTTTTTCTCCACCAAGTTGCCTCTATCTCCTCCCTCCCTCTTCTCTTCCCTACCCAACTCTGTGAATCTCTTTGTGTGTTCCAGGCTGTAGAGAACACTTAGGGAACTGATTACTGGCTGGAACTGTCTCTCTCCTTTTGATTCCCCCTTTTATCCTCCTGGCTACCTCTGTCTCCTTTCTCCCTCTTTTCTTCTCTGTGTAACTCCATTAACATCTCTGAGGGACCCAGACTGTGGAGAGCACATAGGGAAGTGATTACTGGCTAGCTTGCTCTCTCCCCTTTTGAAACCCTCTCTTCTCCTCCTGGTCACCTCTATCTCCCTCCTCCCTCTTCTCTTCTCCATGTAACTCTGTGTACCTCTCCAGGTGTCCCTCACTGTGGAGAAACTTTTCACCATTAACCTAGATGTTTTATGATCGGTTCTGTATAGATGGAGGAGTCTTGAGGCTACTGTAAGAATAAGACTGAAAACCAGAGGCAGGAGGCTTAAGTCCAAATCCTGAGAACACCAGAGAACTCCTGACTCCAGGGAACATTAATTGATAGGAGCTCATCAAAAGCCTCCATACCTACACTGAAACCAAGCACAACCCAAGGGCCAGCAAGTTCCAGAGCAAGATATACCATGTGTATTCTCAAGCAACACAGGAACATAGCCCTGAGCTTCAATATACAGGCTGCCCCAAGTCACACCAAACTCACTAACATCTCGAAACGCACTACTGGACACTTGCACTCCAGAGAGAAGAAATCCAGCTTCACCCACTAGAACACTGACACAAGCTTCCCTAACCAGGAAACCGTAACAAGCCACCCATCCAACCCCACCCACAGAGA